CTGAAACTGTACACGGGAAACGGGATGGAAACGTTTATTTCCGACGCGGAATCGTCAGCGGTCTTGACGATCGATCCGAGCCCGACGCAGCGTTTCCGATTTACCAATGTACAGAGTATTCTTTAAGTATTAAGTTCGGATTATAAGTTGCATTAGGGGTAAGCCGACGCGTCAGCCGCAGAACGATAGATTTATAGTTGATTTCGAGCTCGTTTCTTTCCGCAGCTGTGTTGCACGCGTTTCAATGATTCGAGCGGCGTCCTCGCCGATTATCCGATTACGCTAGACTTAGCCGCGCGTAATCGACAATTTGTTCGCTGCCCGTCGAAATTTCGAAGCGTCCCGAAACTCGATAGAGATGATTCGACCTGTCCGGATCCCCGATTCGCTGCTGTCGCGAGGTTACCGGCTGCTCAAAAGAATGCCACCGAGTCCTCGAAACGTAAAACGCATGGCGATCGCCGCGTCTCTGTGTGCCAAGTAGAGAGAAAGGGCAGCCTGACGGAAGACCGCGCGGGGTTTCGCGTGCCGTGTAATATTTTATTTATAGGCGGAAATTGTTTGTTTGCTTCATGAACGTACCTGCGTAGCAATCGTTTCACCTCGACGAGCCCACCGCGCGGAACCACCGCGACGCGACTTTCCACGGAGATTTTCCTGCGGGAAACGAAACGTCGCGGACGGTTCGCCGATCGACTTTTCTACCCGTGCACTCGACCGTCTCGGAAACTCGCGAAACTCGTGAAGCGCCAATGGAACGATCACGATGTCGCGTGCAATCGATACACCAAATAGTCTAATGTTTTTTGATAACGTTGTTTAGGTAAACGAACGATTGTACAATTAGCCGAATAACCGTCGGTAGTTTGTATAGTTTTGCAGCGCGTTATTTATTACTGTCTTTGCGACTTTTAGGGGGTAGCGACGCGACGAACGCCGCCATAATTTGCGTCGAATGTGCAAGATCCACGTGGCGTTCGCTCGTTACCGGCGAGATCGTAGTAATATCGAATCCTTTTGATAAATGTTACACGTGGGGAATCATGATCGAACATTTCGGGGTCAAGTTCTCAATCTCGAGGACGCGTCTGCGAGGAGAGGTTGCAGCTCCTCGGATCCGTACTCTGCTCGCCGTACCTTTCGACGATCTTCGATGAATCTTCGATTCGAACGGTCGAATCGCTGGACGGCGAGAAGGAATTTCGCGTGCAGAGTGGGCATTAATAGAGATTGCTGGATCGTCGCGTAACACCGTTAGAAGTGTTCGGATCCCGATCATTCAGGATCGAAGCACTTCTACACAGCCGATCTTTCGTTGAACGAGCAATTGGAATTGTTTTCTAGATCGAAGTCGATTGGCCTATCGAGCCGAAATACTCTCGCAATCCGTGACATGCGTTCTGTCCCGCCGGATGTTCCCGTCGGGACGGAGCAACGTTTTTATAGCAGAATCTTTTGTACTCTCGCGTCCGTTGTTTCTCTTTTTTTATTGTTCTTCTAATACCTCGGCATACACGTATTTGTATATACCAATGATGTCCGTGTTTCTTGAATGTGTGTGCTGTTTTGTCTTGTTTGTTGTGTAGATAATATCCTCCGCGTTTTCACGAGCGACAGATTTATTTGTACAGTCTCTTCGGTTGGTTGCATGCTTGGGTCGCAGTCAGCCTTTCGCTGCTCGGTGCATGTTTATACGTTTCGGAATCACGATTTTTCTTACATACGTACATGCGTACATACGTACATGCGTACATGCGTACATACGTACATGCGTACATACGTACATGCGTACATACGTACATGCGTACATACGTACATGCGTACATACGTACATACGTACATGCGTACATGCATACATACATACATTCATACATATTTTTCTCTTCTTTTCTACTCTTCTTCCGTCTACTCTTTTCTCCGTCTTTCCTCCGATTTGATTTTCTATCGTTTTTCAAGCATCCCGAGATAGGCTGACACGCAATTTGTATAAAAGACTATTGCACACAGTCGCGCGAAGAAAACTCCCCCCGCCCTACCCGAGAGCCCCTTCGACGACTAATATCAGCTGTAAATAGTAGATAAGGAAACCGAGAACGGTTGTGTAGATATAAAGATTGATCATGACTCCCGAGGATAGTACAAGTCGGTACTCCTGAATTTATATGCCATTCGGTGTACATTTATACGTTCAGTGTACATTTAATAAGTACCTTGGTGACTAATAAACGTCTCTTATAATTGTGCCTCTGAAAAGAACAGTTAGATCGCGGCGTCAACTGTGCGCACCGCCCTCCTCCCTTTCGTAAATTGCAAAGATCGTACGTATCTATGTCGGACGGTCAGCCTCTATCAACGGTGCTCTGTTTATTTTACGAACGGAAATCGACTGGAAAACGACTGGAAAACGACTGGGAAACGACTGGAAAACGAAACAGAGAAGCGTGTCGAATTAGTAACGCATACCGCGTTGCAGCAGTTTATTGGGTTTCGTGTAATATTTGGTACAACAGTGTAACAGAGTAAAATTTTCTTACGATCTCCATCGTACATTGACCATCGTCGTCGTATAATTTCGATAAATAACGTCCGATCACCGGCGCGTCCTCAGCCCCTTGGTTCCTTCGTTGATCCCGCGGCGACGAGTCCGAGTTATCTAGTCGTTGGCGACGGAAGCGTCGCAGTCCCATCCCATCCCATCTCCACGCGTGATAATCTCGAGCGTCAAACGAACCACGGAACGACGGAACAGCTCTAGTATCCAGCCAACTCGGCGAACGTCGAGTCCATCTCGTCGGCGAGCGACTTGTATCTGTCCTTGTTGATGCCCAGCTCGTCTGCAAACGTTTAAGAATCGTCAGCCATCTCGGTCACTCTTACCGACTAGTCTTTACGACCCCTTTGAAACTAATCGATACGGGCCTACGACATTCCAACGTGATTTTTAGCCGGTTACCCGAGAAATCGTAATCCCTCCAGCTTGATCTCGACAGAAGTCGATCTTCTGACAAACCCCGAACGAAAGCAACCGGAAACAACCTTTCCATCGGAAGATTTACCTCTTACCATTTCTCGGATAAACGCGGCAGGAACGTGTACTACTAGTTTCAATGGACTATTTCCAATGGATTATTTGGCTTTTTCTGGCTTGTATTTACAATGGATTATCTATGTACTTCTTTCGTATTTGTGATTGTTCATTCTCTCTGTTCGGCTACGGGAACAATGTTAACCCTACGCAAAAATACGGCGACCGCATTGCTGGCGCCTGCAACATTCGTTCCACAAAAAGCACACTAGCTTCGTAAAAATGTCAAGTGTACCACGTGGTCGGTGTGTCGGTATGTCGGTATGTCGGTGTGTCGGTGTCTCGGTGTCTCGGTGTCTCGGTGTCTCGGTGTCTCGGTGTCTCGGTGTATGTGTTTTCTACCAGACAAAATGGTACACAAAAAGCGTCGTGTCGCACATTAGCACGCGTGTTCAAAGCAGTTATTACATGGAAGCTTGAATACTTCTCCTTTCCTCTAAGGAAGAAAACTACATCTCTGTCCACTGTTCGTGTCAGCACCCCTCCGAACGATCCGAATCTACTCTAGACTGGTGCTCGTGCCGTGCATTTAATCAGGTTCCTACTGTTCAACTCAAAAGAACAAAAATGACTGTTTAACCGGGCAGGGGGTTCAATTAACTCGATTAGAAAAGGGATGGAGTAACGGATACTACCTGGTTCGACGATCGAATTAGTTCAGGAGGAGATTAGTTCAAAAGGGAAAGGGGGCTGGGGCACGATGGAACTCACCCCGCTAGTTAACGATCGATTCCAACCTTTTCTTTTACCAATTCCACTGGGACTGGGACACGATCGACTCGTCCGAATCGACTCGTTACGATCGCAATCGTAGCGATCACGAATGGCGTTCAATGTAATTTTCTTCGTTGGTTAATCACAGTGCTCGCAGCATGCAAGAATCGTGAGGTGTGCTATACCTTTGCACGAGTGTAAGGCAAACGGTTTTGCAAGGGGGTGGCAAATGTACCTGGCGTACGACGGCCCACATAAACGTGCGAAGCTTTGTTTACTTATTTCTTTTTATCAGTACTTTTTATTTGTTTCCTTGAAATTTTATTCCGTTAAGCGTCTCAAGTGTGTCTCGATGTATACGCGTCGACATTAATAGACGGTGCTCAAGTTCAACTGTGAAATTACTGGGTATTCCTCTGTCGGAAAATAGTTAAAGCGAAGCGCTCCCAAATCGGACGATACGACGCGTACAGACCGTCAAACCTGAACAATTCGGTAACGAACGGTGATCTGCGCAGGACGATACACTTGCGTCTTTTTATATCAGCGGAGAGAAAAGCTGCGGTACAAATATGTAATGCTATTTGTAAACGAGAAC